CGTCTCCTTGCTACTGTAGTCACTGACCCCTCCGTCTGTCCGTCCTCCGTCCGTATTTCTGTCCTCCGTCCGTCTGTCTGTCCTCCATCCGTCGGGGGTGAGTGTGCTCTTGGCACGGACGTCCTTGAGGACAGGCAGGAGGAGTTCCAGTGTCTGGCTGCTGCTTCACCTCATCTCGTGTCCGTACTTCTTACCCCTGAGGGAGTCCCAGATGCACTTGACATCCCGACTCCGCGCTCTTACGCGGAGGCCGTAGAGGGTCCCTACTCCTCTCGGTGGCAGGCAGCTATGGATGCAGAGATGGCTTCCTGGAAGTCCACAGGCACCTACGTTGGCGCGGTTCCCCCACCTGGGGCGAACATCGTCAGTGGCATGTGGATCTTCAGGGTGAAGCGGCCGCCAGGTTCTCCACCTGTCTTCAAGGCGCGGTACGTGGCTCGTGGCTTCAGTCAGCGGCATGGAGTTGACTACTTTCAGACCTTCTCTCCCACCCCGAAGATAACCACTCTTCGGCTGCTGCCGCACATAGCCGCTCAGCGTGACTACGAGCTTCACTCCCTTGACTTCAGCACTGCTTTCTTGCAGGGTAGCCTGCACGAGGAGATCTGGGTGCGCCGTCCACCTGGCTTCACTGGGACTTTTCCTTCTGGCACCCAGTGGAGCCTCCGACGGCCAGTCTACGGTCTCCGCCAGGCACCGCGTGAGTGGCACGACACACTGAGGACTACGCTTGCGGCTCTTGGTTTTGTTCCCTCTACTGCCGACCCGTCGCTGTTTCTACGCACCGACACCTCTTTGCCGCCGTTCTACATCCTCGTGTACGTCGACGACTTGGTCTTTGCCACTGCTGACACTGCTGGACTCGCCTACGTGAAGTCCAAGCTCCAGAAGAGACACACGTGCACAGATTTGGGTGAACTGCGCAGCTACCTTGGCTTGCAGATCACCCGGGACAGAGCACGCCGCATTATTACCCTGACTCAGTCACACATGGTGCAGCAGATCCTTCAGCGCTTCGGCTTCACGTACTCCTCGCCTCGGGCCACTCCTCTGTCTACTCGCCACTCGCTCTCAGCTCTGCCTTCGGATGAGTTCGTAGAGTCGAGTGGCCCGTACCCAGAGCTTGTTGGCTGCCTCATGTACTTGATGACCTGCACACGACCTGACCTTGCATACCCTCTTAGCATTCTTGCACGCTATGTTGCTCCTGGGAGACACAGACCGGAGCACATGGCTGCAGCGAAGAGGGTGTTGCGCTACTTGTGCAGTACGTCGGGCATGGGGCTAGTGCTTGGAGGGCGGAGTCAAGTGGTCCTCACTGGGCACGCAGACGCTTCTTGGGCTGACGACCAGGCTACGCAGCGGTTGTCACAGGGTTACACCTTCAGCCTTGGTTCCGGCTCTGTTTTGTGTCGGGCTACTCGCTCGTCTTCTGTTCTCGGCTCCAGTTGTGAGGCTGAGATCTACGCCGGAGCCATGGCTGCTCAGGAGCTACGCTGGCTCACCTACCTGTTGACTGACCTTGGAGAGCCGCCTCGTTCTCCTTCAGTGCTATACGTAGACAACAAGGCCATGCTGGCCTTGTGTCGGGAGCAGCGCCTGGAGCACAGAACGAAGCACATTGCTCTCCGCTACTTTCTTGCTCGTGAGCTGCAGCAGCGTGGTCAGTTGCGACTTGCGTACGTGGCCTCTGAGGCCAACACTGCTGATATCTTCACTAAGGCTCTTGCGCCTTGTGATCATCAGCGCTTCTGTACTCAGCTTGGTCTTGTGCCTGTCTTGCCTCACTTGCTCACTTCTTGACCTTACTTGTACTGTCACATATATATACTCCTGCTCTTGCTTGTTTAGCCTTTTATATATATATGTGTGCTCCTGCATGTGAACTGGCCGTCTAGCCTTGAACTTGTGCTCGGAATGTGTGGTGACTTTGTGATCCACCTTGAGCTTTGCTTTGCTTTGCTTGACTGGTCTTGTGACCCCTTGTTCTCCCCCACTTTGCCTATGGGGGTGTGTCAGATTTGTATGACATAGCTGTTGTAGGCTATAGTGGGGTAGCACATATGGGGTAAAGCTTTCTAGGGTTGTATTTGTACCCAACTTTCACTTAGTCATTTCATTCTCGTTTCAGTTTTCTCAATACCTGGACGACATACTGATTTATAGACCCGACAGATCACAGCACTTATAGGACATCAAGGCACTTTTTTAGATACTAAGTGAGAACCGCCTACTGACTAAAGCGTCTAAGTGTGAGTTTTTACAGGATCGGCTGGAGTTTTGGGGACACATCATTTCAGCTGCAGGAGTGGAAATAGACCCAAAAAAATTGCGACGATTCAAGCATGGCACGCGCCGACCAACTTGACAGAGCTGCAGAGTTTTTTGCGGTTTGTCAACTACGTGCGCTGGTTCGTCCCCGACATGGTGAAGCTGATTGCCCCGTTGACCGACCTGTTGAGGAAGGGGGTTGAGTACACGTGTGGGGAGAAAGAGCAAGCTGCCTTCTCGGCCCTCAAAAAAAATTTGTGCTCACCGCTCGTGCTTCACATCGCAGATCCGCACCGTCCGTTCGAGCTGATCACCGAAGCTAGCGACATCGCTGACGCGACATCATTGTTGTAGGACTTCGGGAACGGCCTTCAGCCAATCGCGTACGAGTCCCGCAAGCTTCATCCGCCCGAACGCAACTACCCGATACACGGCCGCGAGATGCACGCATTCAAGGTGTGGCGATGTTACCCCACGAGAGCAGACGTGACAGTACGGACAGACCACCGATCACTACAGTACCTGCGCGCCCAACCGAATCTCAACCGACGACAGATTCGTTGGTTGGACTATCTGGAGTCCAATTTCCACTACACGGTCACGTACAAAAAAGGCGCATCCAACATCGTCGACGCACTCACATGCCCCACCGCCCAACTCCACGCCATCCTACTCGCCCAAACCAACCCACTGTTAACAGGCCTATTCACCCACAGATTCAGTACCGACCCATTTTTCACGACCGGAAATTCACAGCAACTGGCAAAGGCCAGAGGAGTCAATTACGTAAAAACAGGCACCAACCGCATCTGGGTACCCGCGTACTCGCTACCGAGGGAACTGTTACTACAGGAGGCACACGACAGGATTACCTCAGGAGATTTTGGGGTAGAAAAAATGCGACAGCAACTTCAGCGGTATTACTACTGGCCGGAGATGTTGTTTGACGTAGAACACCACGTGGGCTCGTGTCCTACGTGTCAGGTGATAAAGAGCTCGCGAAAAAGAAAGGCGGGTCAGTTGCAGCCGATTCCACCGCCTTAGCGCGCCTGGCAGCAGGTTACCATGGATTTCGTCACGGGATTACCTTCGAGCCCTGGGGGTAATGACGCGATTATGGTCGTCGTTGACAGGTTGACGAAGATGGCACACTTCGCTGCGTGCAAGAAATTGATCGCAGCCAAAGAAACCGCTCGTCTGTTCATCGCAGCCGTCGTCGAACTGCACGGGATACCAGCCGCGACAATCAGCGACCGCGACACGAAGTTCACCAGCAAATTCTGGAAGAATCTCTGGGAGCAGTTCGGGACAAGGCTACAGTTCAGCTCGTCGTACCACCCCGAGACCGACGGTCAAACGGAGCGGACGAATCAGACGATGGAGCAGTTGATTCGTGCCACGTGCGACGATTCGACCACTTGGGAGCAGCAGGTGCCGCTGATCGAGTTCGTGTATAACAACGCCACATCAGCGACGACGCAGCAATCCCCTTTCTACCTGAACTACGGACAAAATCCTACAGTGCCCATGACGCCGAGTTCGGACAACCCAACACCACGTGCACAACAATTCGCTGAAATTCTACAAGCTGCCTGCACCAGAGCCGGAGAAGCAATTAAAAAAGCCAACGTCATTGCTAAGCGCAACGCTGACCGCCACCGCCGCCTAGTCACATACCAGTTAGGAGATTACGTACTGCTCGACACGCAAAACTGAAGACTGACCGTCGTCCTGAAATTACGACCCCGCTACTGTGGACCATTCCAAATCAACCACATGATTACCCGAGTGACAACTCACCTACTGTTGCCGACGGACTGGTACGTCAGCCCTTCGTTCCATGCCAGCCTGCTTCGCCCATACATTCCAACCACAAGCCAACTGCCTCGTCACCGCCCGCCATCCATGACTCGACTTGCATCGGAGCCGATCATCGAGCCCGAAAAAATCCTGAGCCATCGGATTCGACACCCCACGGGAATCAGGAGGATTGAATTCCTCGTTGGCTGGAAGGATCGCACGCCAACTGAAGATGGCTAGGTGCCCCTGGCCAACATTGAAAACCACCCTGCCCTGCAAGTGTACCGGAGGAGCCGGGGTTTCTGCGATATACACGCACTCGCGTAGCGGAGGGGGCTTCTTGAGGGAAGGGGGGGGGGGGGGGGGGGGGGGGGGGGGGGGGGGGGGGGGGGGGGGGGGGGGGTAGTGTAAGGATTTTTCTCGATATTCCTTAGCGCGCCCTGCAACATCGCGTACAGCAGCAGCCGTTGTTCGCCCGTTACTGCTAACGGGGCTTCGCCAACTTCGCGCACACTGTTTCACCAAACCTCGCATTGCTGGCCTGGCCGTATCGGCCTACGCTCCGGGACTAGCTCGAGTCTCGCCTCCAGCATAGCACTAGCTAGCTCGCACGCACCGCGTTACCGTTTGCATGTTTCGTGTATAAATGTTCACTCATGCCTTCGCTCAGATTTTGTACTCGTTTGACACCTTAGTGCAACGCTCGCTACTTCGATTCATTGCACCCATAACACTGGCACACAATATGCTAACACCTTGGTTAATGTCATGAAACCCTTACAGAATATCTGTTGCGGTATGTAAGACGATACACTTTTTCCGCGTGTGCTGCCATTCAAGGACCCAGGGCCATCACAAAACTACAAGCAGGAAACCAACTGGTTTGACAACAACGCAGGACGCATAGCATATCACTATCTGATACAGTACTAAGTTGCTTTAGGAGGAGACACTGAATGCACTAGCGCCCCAACTCTTTCTGCAAAAGCAGGTGAAGAGATGCGCTTCCCGGGAACGTGGAAGGGATTTGAGGTGGCATCAACATATGCAGAATGAAGCCGCTTGAAGAACTGATTAAGAGGAGATGTGCAATGGAAACGTTTGGAAAAGGGTTGGGGTGCCAAGAGTTGGGAATTAGTGGGATCATATGGGAGTTGGCAGTATGCATCAGTGACAGATGGAAAGTGCACTAACATGGTTGGCCTAAATAAACAACACCAGCAAGTTTGTTAGGACGGGGAAGAAATAAACACACATTTGCCTGCAATGCCTGCTCGAACTCATGCTAGCAAAAATGGCTTCCTTACATTTCTTATGTCGCTCTCCCTCAGATCAAGACCATCGACAACTATTATGAACTTAATCTGCGTGTTGCTCACATAGCCGTACCTGAGCAATAGGGTGGATGGAAAGGTGAAAGTTGAAAGAACTTCAACAAATTACGAGCAGAGAACGGTGAGATTATAAGCATGGAGGGACACAAAGAAGAACATTTGAGATGGAAACATCGATGAACTGAAAGGTCGACAGCCATGTGGCAACGGAGAGTGCAGAACACACACATGACATGCCTGATCAGTCAGTGCTACTTCTCGCTTACACTCTAAAGTCTTCTGTGGGATAAAGCAAGCCTAGATATGGCTCGTTGGCGCCTCCTCTGCGGGGTGTCGACACTGGGAAGGCAAAGCAGGAGCGTGGAGATGGATAGAAGGGTAAAACGGTGGGCGGTTTGCGGAGCGGCAGGGGAGGACGAAAAGAGGACTTCAAAGCACCTCAGAAGAATGTGCTTCTACTGATCTCGCCCTCCCCACTCTTTGATCTATCCTGTACACCATCTAAAAAAAAAAACGAAAAAATGCAACAATACATTGCCCATCCCTCTCATGCGCCCATGATTCCAAGGCACCCTTCTCATCAAGCCCGGATTTCCCCCTGCCGTGCACCCTGCGTACCGCGCTCATCGATGACGTCGAGCGAGCAGTGCACTATGAAGTGGAACTTGAGCGGATCGTCCGCCTCCAGAAAGCTCTGCAGGTACAGCGGGTTGTTCTGCGGCATTGGGGGAGGAGGGGTGGGGGGGGGGAGAGGGAAAGCAGATAGAAAATGTGAGGAGTGAGAGGGAGAACGAGGGCGAGGGAGGGAGGATAAATAGAGGGGAGGGGCGGGGGGGAGGGAGGGAGGGAGGGAGGGAGAGAGAGAGAGAGAGAGAGAGAGAGAGAGAGAGAGAGAGAGAGAGAGAGAGAGAGAGAGAGAGAGAGAGAGAGAGAGAGAGGGAGAGAGAGGGAGAGAGAGAGAGGGAGAGAGAGAGGGAGAGAGAGAGAGAGAGAGAGAGAGAGAGAGAGAGAGAGAGAGAGAGAGAGAGAGAGAGAGAGAGAGAGAGAGAGAGAGAGAGAGAGGGAGAGAGAGGGAGAGAGAGAGAGGGAGAGAGAGAGAGGGAGAGAGAGAGAGAGAGAGAGAGAGAGAGAGAGAGAGAGAGAGGAGGAGGAGGAGGAGGAGGAGGAGGAGGCAAGCGAGAGGGAGGAGGCTTTGGCGGGTGGAGTGGAGGTTGAGAGGAAGGCAGAGTGAGAAATTGTGAGGAGAGCAAGGAAAGGGCGATCAGAGGAATGAAGATAAGGGGAACGAGAGAGGCAGTATGCGGTGCTCAACGTAGCTCATATGTGCTCATCGTACCGCCTGGCCCACGATGCCCACGCATACTATCATCGCCTCCACGCCCTCTGCTCCCTCGACAGAAATGTCAGGCCTGTAACCCTAGCGACAGTCGCAGCCTTCGCGACAGCTGAGACCAAGGTTGGCAAGAACGCGCAACCGTGGTAGCTAATGCAGTCGCAGAGCGAGGCGAGGAACGGACGGCACTTCTAATCAGCCAGAACTGGAAACAACTTAGAAACACGAAGCGTGTAGTTTTCAGCTCAGTAGAAGCAGCTTTTCACATTCGGACTGGCAAAATATCGAATTCCTGTAGCGAAAGCAGAGTGGAGTCGATGGAAGGTGGCGAGAACCGACCAGTCGTCCAGATTTGCCACTGATGCCCAACACAAAGAAAGGGTAGAACAGGGTGTCTATGTAATCGCAAGGAGGGTCTGGATACGCGCGATACAACCGCAGCAATACACCCTTGAAATATTTTTCACAAGCTCATTCAAGCTGTTTCGACACAAGCAATGATTGCAATCAACGCTGTGTTTTTTGCTTGCTGTGTTAAGCGACTCGATACACAGTTACCAAGAGCTTCTCTGCGAGCACAGAACCAATCCGCTGCGGTGACGCGGGTCGCCCTGATTCTAAATTACTTGCGTAGCACACGGTCTGTGGGCTCTGCAGGCGTGAAGTGCGGAGTGATCGTCGCAACGCAAGCAGAGAAAATACCGATTTAGGGCGAGCCAACAACCGCCGCATTGAGTTCCCCAGTACCACCGAGGCTTGAGGTTCCGTTGTGATACTAACAGCTTATGCACAGGTTACACACAGTTAAACTCAATATCTAAAGCTCACATATTGTGCTCCATTTGATAGAAAAAGCCCATGCAGTCACTCGACCAAAACTATATTATATCAGGGAATGTTGTAGCGCTCTGCTTTATTACTGTATAAGCAATGGTGTTAACCTATGCTATCTCCGTTAACCTTGACGACATTTGAACGTGATGGGGCACCACTTCTATTGCCGTCAACATCTATATCTAACACCCGCTCTATCTCATCATCCAGAGAACCTAAACTTGTTGCCTTTCTCATTTCGTTGTCGACCTGGTCAAATGCCTTGTTGCTTCCCACCCCCACTACCAGCTCCCGTGTTGCCTCCAACTCCTGAACAATGTGTGCCATTGTCGGGCGTGAGGCAGTGACCATGGCTGTGCAGCCTAGGGCGAGCTGAACCACGTGCATCACAGCATTATGTGGCGCCTCCATACCAGGGTCTGCAATGCACTCCATCTTGTTCTCTGTCACTAGTTTTTGCACCTGGCAAGTGGGTTCCCCACCCCATGCATGAGGAGGGAGGAAGTGTGCTGAACTTTAATCTCGCGGTGGCTTGCTATAACTATAGCATCCTTGTGCGAGGGATGGGGTGGTATGGTATGTTCCAAGTTTGTCTAGCGATGCCAAGAAAAAAAACAAGAGAACGAGACAGGGACTAGTGGCGCACCCACAAAGTGAGACGATACCAAGGCGCTTAGAACTTTGAGAAGAAAATGAGGAAGATGAGAGAATGGGGCGGAGAGGCTTACCCAGAAGAGAATGTGTTGCTGCTGCTTGGCTTCCATAAATGTTGCTTCTCGCCCACTCATGACTGCAAGCATCAGAATGCCAAAGCTGCCAAGGATGGGAAGGATGGGGGGATGGAAGAGATGATATGTATGTAGGTTTGCAGGTGACAGGAACATACCATGCACTCAGAATGCGAACAGACAGAACAGGTTCGAGAATATAAAAGATCGATATAAACCCCATACGAATTTAGCTTGAGACCCATATACTCTACATTCAACACTTTCATCAGCTCAACAAAGAAAGGGACTTCACACCTGTACACGTCAGCAGCGGTGGTTGCCTTCTTGGTGCTTGCATATGTAGGGTCCATGTAGCCTGGAGTTCCCAAGACTCGCGTTGACTGCACGGACTGTTCCCCGTCTCCCAGTTTCACCAGCCCAAAGTCCGAAATCTTGGCCTGTGATGAAAGAGAGAGAGAGAGAGAGAAAGCCGAGCACACAGATGAGCAATGGCTGATCCGAGGCCACTGAGCACCAGCACGAGCACGAGGACGAGGACGAGCACGAGCACGAGCACGAGCACCTGCACCTGGCTTCGCACTCACCATCACCTGAACATGCATGCATGTTGGGTTGTTAAGAAGCATTGACTGCCGTGGGGGGGGAAAGCACCTGCATGTGTGCGTCGAGCAGGATGTTGGCGGGCTTGATGTCACGATGCACGATGCCAAAGCTGTGCAGATACGCCAACCCGCGCGCTGCTCCGATGAGAATGTCCAGCCGCTGCTGCAGGGTCAGAGGGGCCACAGCATCTGAGGCCCGGCCAGGGGGGGGGTGAATGTGGAATAGGGAGAGGGGAAGAGGATGGAGGGGAAGGCAGAACACGTTGCAGGGGGATGATTATGCATGATTATGATTATGCAGGCGGAATCATGACAGTGACAATGGAATCACTGTTTCCAAAGTGAAGGCAAAGAGGGAGGCGGGCATGGAAAGGGGGAGAGCAACTGCGACGCAAGGAGAAGGAACACACAAACAAGAGGAGATATATCCTAAGGATTACACAAAGGAAAAAGGGCATGGGCTCATGCATGGCCTTGAAAAAGCGCGACGTGACAGGGTGGTGAGCGATGCGGTGTGGTGTGGTGCGGTGCGGTGTGGTGCGGTGTGGTGTGGGTGGTGCGCACCTCGGCCCATCCACTTGTGCAGGTCCCCATGGGGCATGAGCTCGTAGATGAGCACCTGCTCTATCTGCGACCGCACATTGCCACCCATGGCGAAGCCCAGAAGGCGCACCAGGTGCGGGTGGTGCTTTGACGACATCTGTAACACCTGCAGTGGGTGGGTGGTGGGTGGTGTGGTGTTGTGTGGTGTAGAGTGGTGAGCATGGGCAACGGGATTTTTGAAGAGCAAAACAAAACACGTGGCTGGGACACCTGTGGAGTGCTGGGTGGTGCTACAAGAGCATCTGGATTGTGTGTGGTGGTTGGGTCGGTGGAGTGGTGTGCGTGCCCGTGCAGGGAAGGAACAGAAGGCGCGGATGGGCCAAGCCACACACACGCGCACGCACACATGCACGCACGCACGCACGCTCACCACCCCACATACCCTACACACACCCCACACATACTCTCCACACACCCCACACATACCTCTTTCTGAAAGTCGTTGGTGAGCACTTTGGCGCGCTTGACAGCCCAGGGCGAGCCATCGAGGGGGCTCACTCCGCGGTACACGTCGCCGTATCCACCCGACCCCAGCAGATTCTCCTGCGACCAGCTGTTGGTGGCCTTGAGCACCAGCTTCAGTGGGTACTCTCTACACAATCCTGCTGAGTCCGCCCATGCGCCCGCCCCTGGGAGTTTGGTTCGGACGAGGGGCGTGAGGATAGGTGGTAATTTGAGTTCACTCAGAGCACTCCTGGGTGGGCTGATGGGCATCATATGGCAACGGGTTGCTGACGAAGTCTGAAAAGAAAAGACGTGCGTTGTTACAAGGGTGGCAAGGAGCGAAGATGTGGCCTGGTGCTTTCTCGCAGGCATCGGTCAATGTGTGGTGATCCTGTGGTGGGTGGACGAGCGATGGAACAAATTTGAGCGAGGCGTGTGATGGAATGGAGAGAGAGGGCGGTGGGTGCGAGGGATGAGATGAAGCCCTCGCATCACATCGCTACAAAGAGGAAACGCTAGCTTGACTCTCAGCTTCTATAGCCACCATGACTTACCGACTCGTGACGACTTGCCGAATGACCACCGCTGCGTTGGGTACATGCTGTGGTAACCGCTGCTGCTGTCGCTGCTGCTGCTGAAGCATCTCTTGTAGAGCCACACAGCAGCGAGGCAGAGCAGAGCAAATGCAAGTAGTGCACTGAGGATGATGATGATGGCCACGAGCCACGCGGGGAGCTCGCGAGAGCAAGTGCCCGTATCAGCATTTCACACCATGAAATTTCCCGAGCACACAACGCCTGCGCAACGGTCCACCGGCGGCGAGGGAGGAGCTGTGGGGAGGGAGGGGCACGGGGATGAAGAGATGTGACGCGGAGCGGCGTTCGTTGGCAGGGAGGCAGGAGCGAGCGAGGAGTGCAGTAGAGGCAGGCAGTACGGGACGGGTTCCATGGGGAACCTAAAGCTGGATGCGGTGCAGGGGAAGCAGCGGCAGGTCGGGAATGAGAGACGACTGTGGAGGAAGAGGGGCAGAAGGCGGGGAATGGATTGAGAGAGGAAGAAGAGGTAGTAAGGGCACCTTCCAGGGAGCAAGTGGCACAGAAGCCGCTGCAGTGGCTGCAGAAGGCTGTGGTGTTGGTCTGTGGCACCACACACCACGTGCTGTTGTCCGGGCATGCCAGGTTCTCCGGGACCTGGCTGCGGTGAAGCAGCATGGGGATACGCGAGAATTGGCACCAGGTGGTGCAAGGGGGATGCTTTTTATAAAGGGAGGGGGAGGACAAGTGAAGAGAGAGAGGCCGGCAGAGTGCAAGGACGAACACAAGGGCAGGGGTGTTGCTGAAAATCTTATAACAAATACAGTGTGCAAGGAAACGGGGTGGTGAGTTTGGCTAGGCTCACAAGTCTTTGAGTGCATCAAGCCCTCCAAGGGTGGCTGGTATGGTGCCGCTCAGCTGGTTGCCTTGCAGCGTGCTGCAGGGGCACAGGAGAAGAGAGCACGGGAACAGGGAGGTGACAGGGCGTGGACGAAGGAGAGACACAACAATGGGAGCAGAAGAAGAGAGAGAAGAGTGAGTTAAGGTTTCGATTGGAGGTGTCATGCAGCTCTCCAGACGAATGAGAATCTGCAGCTCCAGGCGCAGGAGAATCTGCAGCTCCAGGCGCAGGAGAATCTGCAGCTCCAGGCGCAGGAGAATCTGCAGCTCCAGGCGCAGGAGAATCTGCAGCTCCAGGCGCAGGAGAATCTGCAGCTCCAGGCGCAGGAGAATCTGCAGCTCCAGGCGCAGGAGAATCTGCAGCTCCAGGCGCAGGAGGAGAGACAGCTGCTCGATGTGCAGGAAAATCTGCAGCTCCAGGCGCAGGAGAATCTGCAGCTCCAGGCGCAGGAGAATCTGCAGCTCCAGGCGCAGGAGAATCTGCAGCTCCAGGCGCAGGAGAATCTGCAGCTCCAGGCGCAGGAGGAGAATCTGCAGCTCCAGGCGCAGGAGAATCTGCAGCTCCAGGCGCAGGAGAATCTGCAGCTCCAGGCGCAGGAGAATCTGCAGCTCCAGGCGCAGGAGAATCTGCAGCTCCAGGCGCAGGAGAATCTGCAGCTCCAGGCGCAGGAGGAGAATCTGCAGCTCCAGGCGCGGGAGAATCTGCAGCTCCAGGCGCAGGAGAATCTGCAGCTCCAGGCGCAGGAGAATCTGCAGCTCCAGGCGCAGAAGAATCTGCAGCTCCAAAGTGGGCCCGCTAAGTGGGGCCGCTTAGTGGGGCCGCTTAGTGGGGCTGCTAAGTGGGAGTTATTCAGTGTGCCATGCTGTGTGCCATGCGTGCAGTGTGGCATGTGGGCTCACAGGTCCTTGAGAGCGCGGAGATCCCCCAGGAATGTTGGAACCAATCCACTCAGCTCGTTCGTGTTCAACCTCCTGCCAGTGCCGCACACACACCATGTCATGCCATGCCACACACATGCCATAAAAAGGGTACAGGAAGTGGTGAGTGAGCGGGGGAGCACGAGCTTTGATGTATTGGAAGTACGATGGTGTGCGATGGAAGTGGGGAGGCTATCTACGGATGCCGAGCAGCTACAAGGCACGGAGATGGCAGTATGCAAGCAAGACGACCTTGTAACAGAGTGGTGAGGCTGCGACTCACAGCGTGGTGAGGCTACGTAGCTGGGCAATCCCGTCTGGAAGGGTTCCCGTGAGGTTGTTGTTGTTCAGGCTCCTGCCAGCCCGCCAGCCATGAGGTGGTGGTTGTGGAAGGTATGAGGGGAGGATGAGAGCATTAAAAGGGCGCGTGCAAGGGGGAAGGGGAGGCGGGGGCAGGTGGAGGGAGACAGGGTTGAGGTGAGAAGTGGAACGGAGCAAGGGTGGGAGAGATGGCGGAAACAGAAGAGATGGGCAGTTGCCACTGTTCGGTTCGGCGAACACTTGGAGCAAAAAATGGTGTTCGCCGTTCGCCTGTGAAGGCGTGTTCGGGCGAACCTCGAGCACGTTCGTGTTCGTCGCGGGGCGAATTGCAGCAGCAACCCGAACACGAACGTATTCGGGCGAACCTCTAACACTGTCCAGCGAACACTTGAAGCCAAAAAAAAAAACCTGTTCGGTTCGCCTCGAAGGTGTTCGTTTTTTTGCTCAACCCTAGTTGGATCATGGGGCCGGGGGACGGAAGAAGGCGGATTTCGCAGGCGGCCACAGCATACATGAGATGCACTGCGCACACAGGATTCTCATCCGCGAGTCTGCTGATATGAGCCTACAACGTCCAGGCAAACAAGGCAACGAAACCAGAACAAGGGGGCGAGGGGAAGGGGTGGGAAAAGAGAGAGATCGGAGTACGGGCGAGGGAGGGAGGGAGGTGAGGGGATGCAAGGTGTGTGACAATGACAATGGGCGATCGGAAGCATGGGTGTACAGGTTCTGAAGGCCTTTCAATTTGGAGAGCCAGTCGGGCATGGTGCCTGTGAGGCAGTTGTGCTGCAGGTTCCTGCCACGTGCAAGTGGTGCGGGGGGTGCGGGTGGTGGTGCCATGCACACATGTGCAGTGCACTGGCATGAATATCAAGCGTTCGAGGAGGAGTGTTGACTGACAGGGAACGGTGTGATGATGAGATGCAAACGTCATGAATCAACAAGTGGAAGACGAGGAGCTTGTGGTCGGAATGTGTGCGAGCATGACATACAGGTGTTCCATGGTTGGGGCGAGCTCCGGAATAGGGCTCGTGATCCGGTTGAAGTCCATCTGCCTGCCCGCATGGCATCATGCAGCCATCCAGGGTGGGCGGGAGGGAGGGACGGATGGATGGAGGGAGAAAGGGCGGGAGGGACGGATGGAGGGAGGGAGAGAGGGCGGGAGGGAGGGAAGGAGGGAGGAAGGGAAGGAGAGAGGGAGGGAAGGAGGGTTAGAATGGAGGGATGGGGGTGAGAAGACAGGGCGACACGTTTCAGGCGAAAGAGAGGACAGAATTGGATTTCTGCAGGAAAACAGAGGGGACTGTTCTGGTGGCTGCAGCGACGGTGCAGCGCAATGGTCCCAGGGCCCAGGGAGGCACGCACAGTATGCTGAGCCTGTCGAGATTGGTGAGCGATGCTGGCAGCGGCCCTGTGAGGTTGTTGTTGTACAACGCCCTGCGGGGTTTGTGTGCACGGGGAGGGGAGGAGGGGGGGGAGAGCACAGGAAAGTGGGAGAGGGAAGCACAAAGAAGGGGCGGGAGGCCGGGCAGGGGGAGCACGCGAGGGGGATGGGGGAGCACGGAAAGGGGAGGAGAGGAGGGGGGGGGGCAGGAAGGGTTGAGAGCGTGGTGGTGTGCGCACCAAGAGAGAGAGTGATGGTGAGGATCAGGAAGGGAGAGTGTGTGCTACACACAGGCACACCCGCACATGCAGCAGCGCAAGGCGAAGTGGTTAGGCATTTCAAGAACGAAGGGTAGAGGGCGGAGGGCGGAGGATGGAGGGCGGAAGGTGGAGGGCGGAGAGTTGATGGCGTACAGGACTTGTAGATGAAGGAGGTTTCCCAAGGCTTCAGGGATGGACCCTTGAAAGTTGAAGTGAATGAGTCTCCTGTTGGGACACACGAAGGGACGCACACACACAGCATGGTGTGTTGGTGGCCTTGGTATGGTACTGTTTCACGTATGGGTGGATGCGAAAAGTATTAGGGGCAGGCACACCGGCACTAGGAAATGCTACGGTATATTCTCGTGAGGTGAAGCACATGCAAACATAGGAAGCTCAGCGGGAGGGAAGGAACATCAAGGGAGGGAGGGGTGACTCGGGGAAAGAACAAGAAGCTAGGGGCATCGCACAACAGCAGGTTGGATGGAAGGACGGCAAGAATGCACAAGGGGGGCACAGGCAGGGATGCGAGAATCTGGCGGGAAAGTGAGGTCAGGCAGAGGAGCACGTTGAATGTGACATGCGTTGTTGACTAAAAAGCATGGGGCAGTCGTGGAGGGCAAGTGGGGAGGCTGACAGGCGTGTGAGAGAGGTGAGGTTGAAAAGTGCTAGCGGGAGAGTCTGTGTGGCGAAGCCTGCAGAGCTGTCCGATTGCGTCAGGGATCTGGAGGTGGTGGGTGAATCGCATTCAGAACGTTTATGGGAATGGGCGAAACTTGAATAACACAACCGAGTCAACGCCCCCCAAAAACAGGTTCGAATATCAGTGAAGCGGGTGGAGGTTCGGCAAGAACGCGGAACTGTATCAAACCCAAAAAAACCAGCAACTGCGGAAGGCAAACCGTGCACAGTTTGCCTTCCAGCCTTGCGACTCGGGTCTCGCCCTTTAAGGCACAGATAGACATTGGATACTGCACTGTGCATGCATGCATGGTATGATACAGCGCGGCCTGGAGCATGGCCCTGGCCTTGATACGGGGAACACGTTTGCTTGCACGTCTGTCTGCTTGTTCTTGCTGTATAAGGCAGGGATAAGACGAAGGAAATGACTCGCTCAAAGGCCTTCGGGAGCAGGTAGGAAGCAGGGTGACTGGAGGAGGTGGCCCGAGGGGGGGTTGGCGCAGGCAGTGCGAGAGATAAGAGCGTGCAGGACGGTGCTGCCCGGTGCTGCGATGTGCTGGGCTTACATGTCCTCCACCATGCCGCTCGCACTGCACGTCAACCCCAAGGCCTTATCGCAGGAGCCGTCCTTGGTCCATCCTTGTATGGTCATCCCCCAGCTATCCTGGATAGCCTGCAGAGCTGGCGCTGTGGCGACGCACAGAGCGTGCACGGGGATGGGGGGACAATGGGACACGCGGGGAAGATCGGACGGAAAGGATGTGACTTTTGAGGCGCCTCGAAAGGATTCGGTGAGCTGGTCGCCGGGGTTAGACTGACGGGTGTGAGGAGAAGCCGGAGCGGCTGTTGGGTTTCGCTTCTGAAGCAGGTGCGAACCGTGGGATTGCATAGGGAGGAACGGCTTGGCCGAAAAAAAAGGTTTCATAACGCGGAACGAGATGAGGCGCCATGACGGAACGGCGCGCGTGGCGGAATGAAACGGACCTTGGGAGTTGTCGATTGTCACTGATGAGACGAACAGAGGCATGGAGACCAGTAGGACAATCAACGCGGGGAATTTGGAGCGGAAACGGCTGCGTGGAGCCATGGCGACTTGAAATGGATCAAGAGATTGAATAAGGCTGTGACGTAGAATTGCTGGTGCGACTGGCTTCTTCCAAACCAAATGGCATCAGGGAGAACTGCTTGACAAGAGCAAGGGGAACAGTGAAAAAAAAGTCGGTGAGAGGCCGAAACCACCAGAATTCTAAGCCCAATGCCTGGCGGGTCTACCATGTTGCGGTCCATAATTTTCAGAAGCATAGCCTGGGCAGTCGCTTGTGCTTGAAGTGCAGCAGCACGAGGAGAGGAGCAATAATTGTGGAACCACCAATACCACCAGCTGGGGGATTCACAATGAAGCGGAGTGCACGGCACGGCACGGGAGGGATGAGAGTATTTCTTCCTCACCTCGGCGTTGTGGTGTGACTCGAACATGCCTAGGGCAGACACAATATTGATATATACAGTACATTGCAACAGAGTAAACAGTATCACAAAGTGCACTCAGAAACGTGGTGCTTTTAATGACACCAATGTGGTACCTGATTTGTCACTATCACTATGAGAACTGATAAAAATATATTATTTCATAAATATGCTATTTTAACTCAGATCTCTACAACTTCTCAAAGTCTTAGGTTAAAGCTTCTACATAAGGATAACACCAATGCTGGAGCAGAAGCAGTAGACAGCATGCGCTACACTGTAACGAAGCCAATGGCACTGGTTGCGTAGTGCAGTGCAGTCATGTGAGTGAGAAGTGGATGGCAACAGTGTCAGCAGGCGGGAGAGATGACCTCCCTGTACCAGCTGGCTGCCCTGCAAGAGAGGAGAGAGATGAGGCAAAGCACAGCAGAGCGACAAAGATGCTGAACGACAGATGCTTTCCAGGCCGAGAAGCATAGCGTTCAGCTTACCAGACATGGCATTGGCGATGGCGTAATCCCTCGCGCGACCTGCGATTTGTGGTGTGGAGTATCAGTAAGGTTATCACTCGACGGGACGAATGACACAGGTTCTTCTTGGGGAGGCATGCTATGCCCGCATTTCTCGGCAGCAGCGATCGTGTGCCGTTGCAGACAAGTCTAGACCAGCCGCGCTGCCGTCATCTCCTCTCTCCGGCCATCCAGCTATCGAACCCGCTTTTCTCGTTTCGTAAATCCGCATCTGCTACTCCGTAATAGAAAAGTCACCAATCTTGCGCTCGCCTCAATAAGCGCTGTAGAAAGCATGCCACGTGTCATAATCCACGGCCGCAAGAAAGCACGGGGCTCGTGCGAGAAGAGCTCGACCACGTCGCATTGAGCATTGCTCGAGGGACCGTTATCTTTGACGAGACGAAAAAGATCAACTAGGAGAGCCGAACCACCACCTACGGGAGGCGCGCAATGCGGGCGAGCAGACGAGGAACCTTTGTTCCTCGCTCATCCTTCCTGCACCATCTCCACTCCCGGGACCATCGTCGTCCTGACACGTCGTCGCATCGTTCCACTTTCTCTCTGTCCTCGTTGCGCGTCCCAGTGGCCTCAGGAGTCCTCTCGGCCTAGCACGCCCCCTCTACGCCAGCTCGCCATGTTAGCGTTTTATACAATCCCGTGTCCTAATTGCTTCCGGAACACCCGTGACATTTCAATGATTCCGCGGACGGTCGGATAGTGGCGCGTCGTGTACGGCCACCTAGTTCTCTGTTAACGGCCGATCCATTGCATTAGTTATTTAAGACCGCTTTAGGCTTGTCGACAGCCGGCATTTATTATTTCATACCTAGATTGTACATCAGCTTTTGAAACCACTGTAGTCCCCGGCACCACGCGTGTTAGCAGTAGCGAGTAACCCTAAAGCATGCCTCGAGCCTACCCGGGGCGGTACGCGGAGGCAGTGGTGGAGGGGTCGACGTCCAGCTGGCCATGGCAGAGATGGCGTGACGTGGCTGGAATCCAAGGTGACGTGGCATTCCCATTGGTGAATCGTGACGTGGCTGTGGGTGCCATCATGGCAATTTATATGTGTGTAGCGTGGCTGTGACTGGCTCACGACGGGACAAATGTGCTGGTTGTCTGTGTCGTTTCTGTCTCCGCTTACTCTCTCCCTCCTCGCCCCATTCCCCCCCACGCCCCGTGTTCAACCAATGGCAGCGCCCCAAATTCCCCACCAGCATGCCCTCGACCCGCCCTTCGATCCCGCTCACCCCCTCGCGCGTCTCCCCACCATCCGCCCCACATTCCTCTCTCCTTCCTTCCTCCACGCCTCCTCCTCCTCCCCGTACCCACCCCGCACCACCGGCGCCATCTCTCCATCACTCCCTCCGCAAATCACAGCACGGGGCGCGGCGTGGGGGGCAGCCGCGGGGGCAGCGGCGGCGGGGGTGACGTCAGAGGCGGCGCTGGTGCTGGTGTCCCTCGCGCTGCTGCTCTCCCTCTGGAACAGACAGCTGCGCCGCTCCACCTCAGGTGCGCCCCCCCTCGCCTCCAGGTGGCCCCCCCTCGCCTCCAGGTGGCCCCCCCTCGCCTCCAGGTGGCCCCCCCTCGCCTCCAGGTGCGCCCCCCCTCGCCTCCAGGTGCGCCCCAACTCGGTGTGCCCGTCTTCAAGTGCACTCCCCGGCAAGTCATTTCCACAGCATGCCAGCCGTGCAGGTAAGCCGCGGCTCCTAACTCAGCACACTCGCTCCCCTACACACCCCTCTCTTCCCCCTCTCTCCCCCCTCCCACCCCTTCTATCCCCCCACCCATCCCCATCTATCCCCCCACCCATCCCCCTCTCTCCCCCCACCCACCCCTCCCTTCCCCACTCTCACCCCGCACACACTCGCCCTGCAGGGTCGTGCCAGCAGTACAGCTTGGACGAGGTGTCGCGGGCAACGGATTACTTTGCGGAGGAGAACAAGATCGGCACGGGCGGGTTCGCCCACGTGTACCGCGGCACGTCGCCCTTCAACCCCGACTCGCTCTGGGCTGTCAAGCGCTGCACCGTGCCCACCGAACACTTCGGCAGAGTGGTGCGCTGGGGGGACGGAGGAGGGGATGGGGGGAGGGAGAAGGGGGAAATGGGGGAAGGGGGAATGGGGGAAGGGGAAATGGGGGAAGGGGGAATGGGGGAAGGGGGTTGGGGGAAGTGTGTGATTGAGGAAACTGTTGATGCACATGCGAGTCTCACAGGATATCCTTCTGGCTTAACCACCTCCAATCCCCCCCGTGCGCCCTGCTCGCCTGCTGTATCTCATCCCCATGCCATGCAACCCCATCCCATGGCGTGGCGTTGTGCATGGGATGGGAGAGAGCAGGTGCGGGAGATGTCGAACAAGATCCACCCGAACCTGGTGCGGCTGATAGGGTGCTGCAACGACTTCAACGAGGCCGAGGGCCGCCACGAGCAGATCGTCATCTGCGAGCTCATGCCAGGCGGCAGCATCCACGGCCGCTTCAGCCGAGGTCACCTCACCTCCTCACCGCACACTCACACATGCACGCACGGACTCATGTTACTGCCTGCAACTTACCCCCCACTCCCCGCCCCCCTTCCCTCCCTCCTTCCCCGCCCCCTCTCTCTTTTCTTTCTCTTAATCCCTCCGTCGGCCTCCTCGTTTCTCTTCTTTTCCCTCTCCCTCTCACTGTTGCTCCTGCACCCGATGTCACTGTCATTGTGTGCTCGCTCTCTGGGTTCTCTTCTCACTCACTCCGTTAGCGTGCTCCACGCCACCCCGCCCCACACAGATTCGCGTGACCCGCTGACCCTGCAGCAGCGCCTGGACATTCTGATAGGAGTGGCCCGCGGGCTGGAATTTCTGCACAGCTCTGGCATCGTGCATCGCGACATCAAGCCCGCCAACATCCTGCTGGATAGCAACATGCAGGTGAGTCCCACCCACTGCGTTTTCTCTCTTACCCGTCCTCCCGTTCCCCCATCCCACCCCTCTTCTCCACGCGCATCACCCAGATCACATCACGCCATGTGCCTCTTCAGCCTTCTCTCCCCGCTGCAATCTCTCAAGCCAACCTCCATCATTGCCTCCTTTCCTCCTTTCCTCGTTCGCCTTTCTCTCAAGCTCGTTGGGAATTGTGATTGCCTTTGCAGTGGAGTGATCGCATGCCACACGGGTCTTCCCAACCCCGCCTACTCTCCTGCCACTCCTCCCACCCCCAACACACACCTCCCCTCTCTCCCCACCCACCCCTCTCCCTCCTCCCTCTCCCTCCCGTCTCCCTTCTCTTGCTACCTCTCTGTCCTCCCCGTTCCCCCACCTCGTTCTCCTCTCTCGCCCCTCCCGCGCTGCACAGGCGAAGATATCAGCGTTTGGGGCGGTGCGCATGGGGTATGACGAGCACATGGTGCAGTCCATGGGCACGCATGGCTACATCGACCCCGCTTCCCGCGCCAACAGGAACGCTCGCCCCAGCGCCGACGTGTACAGGTGGGTGCTGTGTGGTGGAGTGCGGCGCTGTTTGTTCTGGTGTGGTGTGGTGTGGTGTCCTGTGTGTGGTGTGGTGGGGGCTGGGCTAGTGCGTTTGGCGTGTGTGTGTGCACCATGGACGTTTGTGGCAAAACAAGGTGTCCGTTGCAGTGCAAGGTCCCAAGGCAGTTGTGATGAATAGACATGGAATTGCCAGCAGCTGTTGCTCTTGTTGCGCCTTGATTAGTTGAGTTCCTCAGCCCCCACCTCCTCCTCTCCTCAAAATTCCCCGTGTTGTGTGTTATTCGTGCATGGACAACAACAGTTTTGGAGTGGTGATGCTGGAGATGCTGACCGGGCGCAAGGCAGTGGAGTGGGACGGCAATGCAGACAGCAACTTCAAGGGATGGGTGAGCACGCACCCACTGTGCTCATGCTACTGCATAGCTGGCTGGGAGGAGGAAGGGTGAAATTCAGATGGACTAATGAATCAGACTCAATCTGCTCTTGGTTCATGATTGGCACTGGGGGGACATCATGTCGGCAGTGAGGGAGCACTGAAGGAGAGGGTTGGGATGTTGTTAGAGCGACTGACGACAGGTAGTGGGCGGTGCACCCATCATGTTGCCATGATAACATGTGATGTCATACGGGTTTCAACGAACGACGACTGCTTCTGAATCTCGCCGAAGCCACTACATACACCCATGCACTCTGGATAGATTCCCTCCCCTCCTTTTCTCCCCCCCGCCCTCCCCTTTCACCCTCAACACCCCCTTTTCCTTCCTTTAAAAGGCATCTCCCCCCTCCTTCTCTCGCCCCGTCCCACCTTCCCGCCCGCCGTCTGCTCTCCCACCTACCAGGTGGTGCAGTGTCTGTACGACCGCAACGTGGCACTCATCGGCGACCCGCATCTCAAGGCGCCGGACAGCGTGGTGGTGCGCATGGCGGACCTCGCCCTGCCGTGCCTTGCCATGCCCCCCGACAGCCGCCCCTCCATGGCACGCGTCATCCATGATCTCGAGGCCGTGAAGCTCTTCATTGCCTCGCAGTGGCCTGACCTCGTGCACTGCTCGCCTGATGCTGCCCGCTCTGCCGATGGGACCAGTGGGGAGTTGAGCTCTGGTGAAGCCGTGTCAGGTGCGTGCGTGTGTGTGTGTCGCGCGGTGATGTGTGTGCGGTTCAGCGAGATGCGGTGCGGTTCCTACTGTACATGCTTGCTTGACGCTCCTTTCCAAGAGTGCCTACCTTTCCTTTCCTGCTTCACTGTTGCGTCCCTAACCATGATGCCTTTTCTGTCTCCTCTTTTCTGTGTCAGTGCAACAGCGCATCTTAAAGGCATCTTCTTTCCACCATGCAATGCGTCCCCTTGTGTTTCAATGTCCGCTTGCTTACCTTCTTCTGCCTTCACCCCTTTCCCCCACGCCTCCCCCCTTTCTTTTCTCTTACTCCGTCTGCTGGGTGTGTCCCATCCCAATGGCCTGCCATCATCACCCAACCAGGTTCAACGACGACCACCACCATTGCAAGAACAAACTCAAGTACGATCACTCCACCACATCCCACCCACACACCCCACACGCACACCTTCTCGTCACCTTGCGTCCCTCCTCTCCGGCCTCCCTCTCTCCTTGTTACACTGTGTTATCTTTCTCTCTTTGCCTGACCACCCTGTGTTGCACTCACATGATGAAGTCCTAATTCACCCTATTTGCCGTCTTTCAAAACCATTGATGCAAAGCTGTCCATGGCATTTTACTTGAGGTAAAAAAACATCTACTCAAAGTGAAAGATTACCCACCAATCACTGTGTGGTGCACTCTGGTTGGCCAGATGTGGCAGCAGCGGAGCGGAGGGGCCCGCTGCTGTGCCAGCAGGTGAGTGTGGCGGAGGTGGTGCGGGCGACGGGCGGGTGGGCGGCGGAGAGGCGAATCGGCAGCGGCGGGTTTGGCGACGTTTACCGCGGAGTGAGCCCCCTTGATGGGTGCACGCCCTGGGCTGTCAAGCGCGCCAAAGTGCTCACCAACGACTTCCGACGCGAGGTGAGCACAGAATAATGGGATGCAATGTGGCTGATATGAATGGGATGGGGATGAAAGCAAGGGCTTAAGTACAGTGCTCACCGCTGCGAGCTGCGCATTGCCCCTGTTCTTCCACCCCCCTTATATGTCCTACTCCACCCCCTCCATGTCCCCTCCTCATGCTCCCTCCCTCTCACCGCTTTCTCTCCCGCCTCTCTCCTCCGTGGCGTTAGATCAACGAGATGGCATCGAAGCATCATCCGAACCTGGTGCGGCTGCTGGGGTTCTGCATTGACGGCGATACAGCGTCGGAGAACATGGAGCAGATTGCCATCTATGAGTTCATGCCCAATGGGGACCTCGAGAAGCGCCTGCACCCAGGTAAAGAATACATTGTTTAGGAAAACCAGCCCCACTGACAGTGTGCCAAAGCATTCCTGTCCCAAGTTCCCACCCTCCCAAGTTCCCCCCTCCCGCCCTCCTGCTCGCCTGCCTGACACCGTCCCATGCAGGCACGTCCCCAGAGCCGCTGTCATTGAGGCAGCGGCTGGACATTCTGATAGGGGTGGCGCGCGGGTTGGAGTATCTGCACAGCTTTGGCATCGTGCATCGCGACATCAAGCCCGCCAACATCCTGCTGGATCATAACATGAAGGTGAAGCGCGCTTTGCAACCTCCCACTCCCCTCTAGCTTCCCCCCCCCCCCCAACCGTTCCCAAGCCCCAACTCTCCGCACTCTCTCCGCACACACGTGTGCAAAAAGCAATCTCTCATTCTCGTCTTGTTCCCTCTCTTTGGCCTCTCTCACTTGCTCCCTGACTCCCTCACTCACTCGCTCCCTCACTCTCACGCGTGGCACACACCCTCGCCTTTCCTCAGGCGAAGCTGTCGGATTTCGGGCTGGTGAGGATGGTGGAGGGCACAACATGCCAGTCCACGCGGGTGATGGGCACGCCGGGTTATGTGGACCCTGCATACTCGCTCACACACAAGGCCACGCCCACCATCGATGTTTACAGGTACACACCTCCCTCCCTCACCACCACCACCTCTACTCTATCCTGTACATGCTGTTTCTGTGTAAATCTGTGTCTGCAACCCTGTATTCCGGCTTTCTGGGTTGTTCTTCCCTTTCCATATCTGTCCCACTTCCTCCCCAACCCCTCCCCCTCCCCCACCCCCAACCCTCCTGCTTATCCTGCCATGGCACATGGGGCCAGTTTCGGCATAGTGATGCTGCAGCTGCTTACAGGGCACAGAGTGGTGTTGTATACCTCCCTCCTCATATCTGTCCCACTTTTCCCCCCAACCCACCCCCACGCCCACACCTCCGCTGCTCATGCCGCCGTGGCACGTGGTGGTGGTCAGTTTCGGCATAGTGATGCTGGAGCTGCTGACAGGCCACAGAGTGGTGTTCATTCTGGACGGGGGCGCCCCCATGAACATCAAGGAGTGGGTGGAGCAGCGCATAGCCTCGGGGGAAATCAGCGCCATAGGCGACCCCTTCATGCGCGCCCCGGACTCCCTCGTGCTCCGCATGGCCCGGCTGGCCCTGCGCTGCACGGCTGCGCTGACAGCGGCGCGGCCGACAATGGGCGAAGCGGCGACGGAGCTGGAGACACTGAAGAAGGAGTTTTTCGGGCTGGAGAGTGGGCGCATGGCGCAACGGGTGGATGAGCAGATGCAGTCGCTAAGGCTGACGCACAGGGATTTGAGAGAGGAGCTGCAGATGATTGCGGGGATTGAGTCGAGTGCCAGCTCGGCGACTGGGAGGAGGCTGTCGGGGGGGGTGAGGCGCGAGGAGGCGGAGACCGTGTGAGGACTCAGGAGCGAGGAGGGGAGGTTGTGCTGAAGTGAAGTGGCTGAAAAGGGAGGGAGGAGGGGGGGGGAGAGAAGGTGGTTGTGGGATTTAATGTAGCATGCATGCATGGGTGCTGAATTTGAGGTGCCTTACACAGACTGGAGGCATGGCGGGATATGAGGAGCGGGCGTGTCACTGCATGCCATGCCAGCATAAACACAAGGATGGCTGACCAACTAAAAGGACTCAGATGTAGCATGAGCACAAAGGATGGATATAGAATAGTAAGGGAAAAATCAGAGGCTCATTGTCTAGAAGGCCTCTTTTGTGGAAAAGCTTTTGAATGCGATGCGTGTAACTACAGGCAAACGTGGCGTGCCAGCTCAAAGATCCCCGTTACTAACATCTTCCTCCAGAAATATCTAGAGCACATGCATACCATGTCCTCCTATCTACCTAGTCGCGAGATACTCGTTTCTTGAATCCCTCCATTCCACCCTCGTCGCTGCTGCTCTCGCCGCCATTACGTCGCCACCACCATTCACTGCTCTCACCGTTCCCCATTCACCACCTTCCCAGCGCCACGCCCTTCCACAGCGCAGCCCTGCTCATTGTCCGCGCGCCCCCCGCGCGCCCACCGCGCGCCCACCGCGCAAGCATGCCGCCGCCAGCGCCACTCGCAGGCGCTAGCGCGCCGCCCAGTGCCCGCGCGTGCACTTCCGCCCTCCGCCCCTCGTGCACGCGCTGGTATCCGCGGAGCCACGCTCAGCCTTTCCCCACCGGGAGCAGGTCAACCCGTGCGGCGGATTCAAGCGCGCAGCTGGCGCGTCACCGCTGCGCGCCACTGCGGGTGCTCGTGGGGAGAGAAAGAGCGTCTGCAGGACACGGCGCGGGGAGAAGCCTAGCAGGCGGAGAAAGCGCGGTCTGGGGGAGACCGAGCGGGAAATGTGGCGGAAGAGTGGGGGAGCTAGTGCGGTGCCAGGCAACAGGGGGGGATGCGGTTAGCAAGGGGGGTGGCGGGCGAGGCGGAGGGGGAGCGGGGGGAGCAGGAAGCGGCGGGTACAGGTCGCTAGAGGAGCTGGCTAACAGCGTGGAGGCTTGCTTCTTCGAGGTGCGCTGCCCGTGCACGCTGCCTGCCGTGAAGGGTGCAGCCATGAGCACAGCCCACCCACTGCCTTCCACCGTTGCTTCTCTCCCACTCCCCCTTCACTGCACCTCCTGACGCCCCTTTCCTTCCACCCCCCGTGCTCCCTGCGTGAGCGGTGCGAGCAGGTGTGTGTGAGCAACAGCGGGCGGCCAGCAGCGATGGCACTGCACGACCTCGTGGCCGCTGCGGCTGACGCCTTCCTCGCCGGGCACTCGCTGCAGCGCCTGCTGCTGCAGCTGCAGGTGAGGGGGGGCATGGACAGTTGTGGCGGGAAGTTGGGAGGAACAGAAGGAACAGGAGGGGGAACAGGGGGAACAGGGGGAACAGGGGGAACAGGGGGAACGGGGGGAACAGGGGGAACGGGGGAACAAGGGACGGAGTCTTCAGTTCACACATGGCGCACTGAATGTGTTCCAGCGCATACACGAACGAATGCACGCATGCGTTCAAGGTGTGGATCATTTCCTGGTGCTTACACCCTTGAGACTCACTGCTTCCCTCCTTCCCTACCCCCCTCCCCCATCCCCCCATACCCCCATCCTCTTCCCCATGGGTGGGAGCAGTACGGGGGAGCAGAGGGGGAGGAGTTCAGGATGAGCGAGGCGGGGTACAGGCTCACGTCCTCCGAGCAGCACTACCGCACACAGTGGATCAAAACGGTGCCCTCATCTGACCTGCCCTGCCCTGCTGCTCGCCCCCTCCCCCCCCCCTCCTCTCCCCGCTCCACCTTGCAATATGTTGCTCTCACCCACGCACACACCCACACACACACCCACCCACACACACACCCACATGCACACACGCACACATACACACCGACACATGCATTCACACACGCATGCATGCCCTGTAATCCGCCTTACCACCACCAACCTGTCTGCTTGCCATTAACGCCACGCCCTCCCCCTGTCACCCCTCCCATCCACCGCCACCAGGTGTACCTGACCATGTACCGCCTGCACCTGCAGCAGCCTGGCGCCTCCTTCATCCACATGCCCGCCTCTCAGCAACGCCACGGCACCCCCAGCGGTAACAGCAGCAGCAGCAGCAGCAGCAGCGGAGGCAGCAGTGTGATGGATGTGAGCCATGCTGTGCCTGGCCTTGGCATGTTCGAGGGCGCCATGCCGCCTGCTTCCGAGCAGCCCGTGTCTGATGCCTCTGGTAGCAGCAACGGAATCGGTGGGGATGGCAGTAGTGAAGAGAGCAGGAGTGGAAGCAGCAGCAGCAGCAGTAGTATGGGAGCATTGGAGGGGCTATGGGAGGTGGTACAGGAGGAGCCATGGCTGGGGAGCATAGTGGACCGAGTCCTAGAGGGGCAGAGGACGGGTGAGGAGCAGAGCCTTGTGCACTTCGACCGCGCTCTCGCCACAGCAGGGGCATCGGGAGGCGTGGCGGCAGAGCGGCGAGTGATTGCACCGCAGTGGCTGCCCATCAGCCAGCTGGTGCTGCTCACGTGTAAAGTGGCCAACGAGAGGCGCGGCCCGGTGTGAAATGGTTTTGAGGCGTTCCAAATGTGTTGAAGACGGGTTTGAGATGTCTCAAAACGCAGTGGCTGCCCATCAGCCAGCTGGTGCTGCTCACGTGTAAAGTCGTCAAAGAGAGCCGTGGGTCCGTGTGACAATGGCTATCGGGGAGGATTCGGTTTGTGTAGTTAGTGGTTAGTGCGGTGGTGGGGAAGTGCCGCTCCTTGCTGCACAAACAACCTCAAAAGGCAGATACTGCATTCTTCAAGGTGTTTTGCTTGTGTGTTTGATAATTGTTACACAAAACTCATTTGATGGTGGCAGGTGGGCTTTGGGGAGATTTCAAAAACCGCTTGCGGCAGCAGAACACTATCAGTTCACCTCCTCCCTCATTTGTTTTCCCATCCGTCGTACTGTAGTGAAGCAGTTTCAGAATAGCACTAGCGGAATGGTGTGAGCTAGAAAGCATGGGGATACATACATAGGTATGTCAACCCTAAAAGGGTTGTACTCTCTAAAGTGTACCTCACTGCCGCCTCTTACCCAGCACGCCTAAAAATAATTAGACAAGAAAGCCCCAACATCGGCTCATCCAACGCATACCGTAAGAGCTTTCCACCGGTCCACCCACCCCAGACAATGTGAGGAAGGAACTTCTAAAGCACGTCGGTCGATGATAGTGGAGAAACGGCGCCTAGTGGTTGTCGGAAGCTAGGACAGTAGAGCAGTAGAGGAGTCCTTACAGGCGTGCCTTCACCATCTCCTTCTCTACTGCCACTGCCGTCACTGCCATCACTGCCGCTGCCGCCACTGCCACTACTGCTGCCGCCGGTGCTGCTGCTGCTGCTGCCACTGTTAGGGCTAGAAACGCTCTCTTCAAAAGTAACCGTGCGCTTTCCCTTACTTCGACCTGCGGCACTCGAGGCATGCCTACCCGCCTCCACGTTACCCTGAGCTTCGGCACGAGCACGTGTTGGTGAGGCAGAGACGTCTAGTGCCCTCACACCTGTCTTGCCAGCAGCAGGCGGCAGTGCAAGCACAAGCACACAGGCCACCGCCTACCCAGTGGTGTGGATGACATGTCACATGCGGCAGGGCAGGAATGGGCAGGGGGAGTTGATGGGATGGGTGTAGAGGGGAGAAGGGGAGGATGGGTACAGCAGATTTGACTCGAGAAGAGAGGAGTTGGAAAGGGGTGAATGAATGGTGCAGATGCAAGGTGTGACGAGTGGTGAGGAGGGGTAACACAATTATGATGGATTGAGAGTAGTAGGAGCAGGGGAGCATGGAGGGCATGGGGGCACGGAGGGCATGGGGGCATGGAGGGCATGGGGGCATGGAGGGCATGGGGGCATGGAGGGCATGGGGGCATGGAGGGCATGGGGGCATGGAGGGCATGGGGGCATGGGAGCATGGGGCTACGTTGCCAAATACGCTCTGGGTAGGGTGGCGTACCACGTATATACGATTGCGTACGTACGTGGTACGCTAATACGCTTCGAATTCGTGAAAAAACGCGCGGGCAGCCCGGCGAAAAAAAAAATCGAAATTGAAAAAAGTTTGCGACGGCTATTAGGGCTTCGCGACTGGTTACGCGACCAATCACATCGCCCAACCCACGTCTGAAATTCAAATTTCAGAATCCAAACCTCCCACCACCCCAACCACACACCACCCCACCAAACCTCTCATATCCAACCACCCCTCTCAAATGTCCAGCACGTCATGTGAGCATTTACTCGTTGACGCCTTCCTATCCTTCATTCGTTTCTCTCCTCCTCAATTTCATTCCCGAGCTCTGATCTCCCGTTTTCCTCAAGCAGTTTACCGTTCCTTAGTCGTGCCCCATGGCGTCGAACTCCACTCCTCCTAGCGCGACGAGCAATGTAGCTTCTGGTCACGCGTCTAGTAGTGCGATCAACACGCAGCCTGTTGAGGCTGGCCTTTCGAACCCCATTCTGAAACATTTTCTTATTCCCCCCCACACCAAAGGCAATCCCAAGCTTTGTAAGTTTTGTGGCTTCAAGTTTGAGGGCGGAACCACTCGCTGCGCAGTTCACCTCGCCAAATGGAAAGGGCAAGATGGACGCCCTATCAGGCTTTGCAAGGACGTGTCCCCGAAAGTCCGTGAAGAAGTGCGTGCCATGTACGAAAACAAGGAGGAAAACAAGAGCATGAAACGAGGGGCGGCTGCTGCAGCACTCGACTCCGTGCTGGGCGCGGTCACTGCTTGTGCGGAGAAGAAGGGGAAGATAACAGAATTCTTCGGCGACGAGGCAACGTGCGCCAAGGAGGACGCGGATAACGCGCTTTGCCTAATGATCTCGGTGCTGAAGCTTCCAGAGCGCATCGTGGATGATCCGGTCTTCCGCTACGCGGTCCAATGCTTTGCGCGCGCGGGACTGGGGTATGTTCCCCCCAAGAGGGGCTACGTTGGAGGGGCGGGCTTGAAGAAAGTGCGGCAGAAAATGGAGGCAGCGCTCGCCCCCGTTGCCGCGAGCTGGAAGCGGGACGGTGTCACCGTGTCGTCGGACATGATGACCGACCGTTGTGGCCGCCCGCAGGCCAATATACTCCTTGTCAACGACTCCGGCGCAGTTTTCGAGCAGGCCGTGGACTGCAACATGGAGTCGAAGACGGGGGGGTACATCGCCAGCCTTCTCCGCCCCGTCATTGATAAGGTGGGGCCGGAGAATGTGGTGGCGGTCTGCACCGATGGCGGCAGCAACTATGCATCGGCAGCGCGGAAGATTGCGGGCACATGGCCGCACATTGAGCATGTGCCATGTGCCACGCATGTCCTGGACCTGTTAATGGAAGATGTGGGCAAAATGGGATGGGCGAAGGGGCTTGTGGAGAAAGGAGGGGAGATGATTACCTTCGTGCGCAACCACCACTTCACCCGTGCCTATATGAAGAAAGTGGGGGGGAAGCAGGTGCTCAAGCCTGCGGGAACCAGGTTCGGGACACAATACATAGCCATGGCCCGGCTATGTGAGGTGAGGAGTGGGCTGGCGGCGATGGTGCTCAGTGACGAGTGGAAGGTGTGGGCAGCGGGGGACAAGGATAGGAAGACTGCAGCCGAGAAATTCAGGGCTGTTGTGATGGATGAGGAGTGGTGGGGGGTGGCGGAGTTCTTTTCCTCTCTCATGGCGGTGCCATTCAAGGCCATGCGGGCCACGGACTCTTCTGCGAAAGGCATTATGGGTAAGCTGTATGACATTATGCTACAGCTTACCGAGGACATCAATGACAAGCTCGACGCTTCAGGCGACTTCTTGACTCGGACAGAGAGGGCAGAAATCACCAAGATTGTGAAGGACAGGTGGGACAACTCCCTTGCCTGCCCCATGCATGTGGTTGGCCGGATCCTGAATCCGGCCAACCAGGAGGAGGGAATTTTTAGGAACGATGTGGAGTGCACGAGGGTGTTCAAGGACTACATCGAGCGCCACTATGACCACGTCACCTTCAGGCGCGGCAAGGATGGTGCCCCTCGCCGCGCCTCCCTTGTGCTGCAGGAGGCATTGCTGGCCTACATCAACTTGGAGGGCAGTTTTGGCAAGCTGAGCGCCATAGCTGCAAGGGAGGCAGTGAAGAAAGGGGAGATGAGCATGGTGCAGTGGTGGTTGTGGCACAGCACCGAGTACCCTGAGCTTGCCACCCTCGCATGCCGGATTCTCACTCAGCCCGTCTCGGCTTCTTCATGCGAACGTGGCTGGGCGCAGTGGGAAGGCGTCCACACCGCCCGCCGCAACCGCCTCGGGTCCGCCAAGTGTGCGGACCTGGTTTACATTGCGCACAACTGGAACGTTGTGCGCAATTGGTACAACAAGGATGGGGCCAGCACGGTTGTGCCCGGGAACATCCCGGACGCCCCTATCCCCCGCGGCTACAACATGGACGAGGAGGAGGAGGATGACCTGCTGGGGGGGGAAGGAGATGATGCAGTGCTGGCGGATGAGTATGGGGAAGGGGTGGTGGTGGAAAAGCCTCGCAAGGAAATAGGCTGTGGGGAAGCTCGCTAGAGGGTGGGGATTATGTAGATGAACTATGTATTTCTGGATATTTATGAAATAAAATATTTACATGTGTTGTTGTCGGCCTGAACCCCCCCCCTGAAACAGGTTTTTTTAATCCTGCCCGGGAAAAAACGTTTTAGCTGCCCGCCAGCGTATTTTTGCGTATCAGCAGTACGCCAGCCTTGGCGTACCGCGTATATACCAAGCGTATAATACGCTAACGTATTATACTCGGTACTCGTATTTAGCAACATAGGCATGGGGAGCATGCGGGTGTGGTGTTACCTCGACAATGGCTGTCACGAGGATGCCGGCACCAGGCTGGTGGATGGGCGCTGAGTCCGACATGAAATACGCTGGTGGGACGGGTGCAGGGGAGGAGGGGACAAAGGATGGGATTGTGGACGGTGGATGGGTGGACATAAGGAAGGATTCACAGACGAGCTGCAGGAGTGAAGTGAAGAGAAGAGAAGAGATAGAACAGTAAACACTGGAAACCGCTCTTACAGTCGTGAAGAAGAGTCATCCTGCAAGGCAAGGTGTGCTTTGAGTCGACTCAAAACACGAGCGATCCTGCAAGGCAAGGTGTGTGCAGTGAGAACCACTCTTACCTCAGCACTGATCCCGTGCTCCCTCCCTGACCATCCATCATACGCCTGCTCTGCACCTCAGCCGAATGAACTTCTTCTCCTCCCCCCCTTCCCCTCCACCACAAAGTAACACGTGCAACGGCTGGAGATGGCACGATGTTCTAGATATTATGGTGCTGTCTCCATCACAATTGGAGGAGCAGCAATTTTGAGTTGACTCAAACGTGGACCGTCGTGCTGTCTCCATCACACTTAGAGGAGTAGCAGCACACAACGGTGTAATTGTAACGGCGTAATGGTAACGGTGTAATGGTAACGGCGTAATGGTAACGGCGTAATGGTAACGGCGTAATGGTAACGGCGTAATGGTAACGGCGTAATGGTAACGGCGTAATGGTAATGGCGTAATGGTAATGGCATAATGGTAACGGCGCAATGGTAACGGCGTAATGGGCAACGGCGTAAGGGTAACTGCGTAATGGTAACGGCGTAATGGTAACGGCGCAATGGTAACGGCGCAATGGTAACGGCGTAATGGGTAACGGCGCAATGGTAACAGCGTAATGGTAACGGTGTTATGGTAACGGCGTAATGGTAACGGCGTAATGGTGACGGCGTAATGGTAACGGCGCAATGGTAACGGCGTAATGGTAACGGCGTAATGGTAGCGGCGTAATGGTAACGGCGTAATGGTAACGGCGTAATGGTAACGGCGTAATGGTAATGGTAATGGCGTATTGGTAACGGCGTAATGGTAATGGTAATGGCGTATTGGTAACGGCGTAATGGTAACGGTGTAATGGTAACGGCGTAATGGTAACGGCGTTATGGTAACGGCGTTATGATAACGGCGTAATGGTAATGGTAACGGCGTAATGGTAACGGCGCAATGGTAACGGCGCAATGGTAACGGTGTAATGGTAACGGCGTAATGGTAACGGCGTAATGGTAACGGCGCAATGGTAACGGCGTAATGGTAACGGTCTAATGGTAACGGTCTAAAGGTAACGGCGTAATGGTAATGGCGTAATGGTAACGACGTAATGGTTACCAGTGATTGGGTTGATGGTGAGAGGAGCGAGCACAGCAGAGAGAGAATGTATGCTTGACACAACCCCTTGCAGTTTGCCCTGTGTGGTGAAGCACGCAGGGAGGGAAGAAATGAGGTGGCGGAGGATTGTGAGGAGGGGCGGTGCTCATCATGGTGGTTCCAATGGTTCAGGCAATGAGAAAAAAGGGGGAGGGACGACTGAAGGACGGAGGGTCGGAAGGGAGGGAATGGACGCAGGCATGTGCATGCAAGAACATGCACACATCAACTTTCACTGGAATGAATGTTCAGAATGGGCCCTCATGATTTGCGAGTTTTTGTGAGTTTTGACATGTCTTAGAATCCTCCCCCCCCCTCCACCCCCCGCGTGGCTCACCTGTTCCCTGGGGCCTGCAAGGTGTGAAATCATGGTGCTGATCTGCACGGGGGAGAGGCATGTGATGGGGGGAAATGAACACAGGGGAGGGGAGGCGTGTTAGAGGGGCCGCGATTGTAAGATGCACTTGGCACGCGTGATTCTTCGAAGCATAACGGAGAGGAGAGGAGATGAGAGAGGAGAGGAGAGGAGAGGAGAGGAGAGGAGAGAGGAGAGGAGAGGAGAGGAGAGAGGAGAGGAGAGGAGAGGAGAGGAGAGGGGAGAGGCGAGGAGAGGAGAGGAGAGAGGAGAGGAGAGTAGAGGAGAGGAGAGGAGAGGAGAGGGGAGGAGAGAGGAGAGGAGAGGAGAGGAGAGGAGGGGAGAGAAGAAGAGATGAGAGGCGATGAGATGATACAAGAGGAGAGGAGAGAAGGGGAGATGATAGGAGACGAAAGGAGAGGAGAGGAAAGGAGAGGAGAGGAGAGGAGAGGAGATGAGATGAGATGAGATGAGATGAGATGGGAGGAGAGGAGAGGAGAGAGGAGAGGAGAGGAGAGGAGAGGAGAGGAGAGAGGAGAGGAGAGGAGAGGAGAGGAGAGGAGAGAGGAGAGGAGAGGAGAGGAGAGAAGAGGAGAGGAGAGGAGAGGAGAGGGGAGGGGAGGAGAGAGGAGAGGAGAGGAGAGGAGAGGAGAGGAGGGGAGAGAAGAAGAGATGAGAGGAGATGAGATGATACAAGAGGAGAGGAGAGAAGGGGAGATGATAGGAGAGGAAAGGAGAGGAGAGGAAAGGAGAGGAGAGGAGAGGAGATGAGATGAGATGAGATGAGATGAGATGGGAGGAGAGGAGAGGAGAGAGGAGAGGAGAGGAGAGGAGAGAGGAGAGGAGAGGAGAGAGGAGAGGAGAGGAGAGGAGAGAAGAGGAGAGGAGAGGAGAGGAGAGGAGAGGAGAGGAGAGAGAGGGGAGAGAAGAAGAGATGAGAGGAGATGAGATGATACAAGAGGAGAGGAGAGAAGGGGAGATGATAGGAGAGGAAAGGAGAGGAGAGGAAAGGAGAGGAGAGGAGAGGAGAGGAGAGGAGAGGAGATGAGATGAGATGGGAGGAGAGGAGAGGAGAGAGGAGAGGAGAGCAGAGCAGAGCAGAGGAGAGGAGAGGAGAGGAGAGAGGAGAGGAGAGAGGAGAGGAGAGGAGAGGAGAGGAGAGAAGAGGAGAGGAGAGGAGAGGAGAGGAGAGGGGAAGAGAGAGGAGAGGAGAGGAGAGGAGAGGAGAGGAGAGGAGAGGAGAGGAAGGGAGAGAAGAAGAGATGAGAGGAGATGAGATGATACAAGAGGAGAGGAGAGAAGGGGAGATGATAGGAGAGAAAAGGAGAGGAGAGGAGAGGAGAGGAAAGGAGAGGAGAGGAAAGGAGAGGAGAGGAAAGGACAGGAGAGGAAAGGAGAGGAGAGGAGAGGAAAGGAGAGGAGAGGAGAGGAAAGGAGAGGAGAGGAGAGGAGAGGAAAGGAGAGGAAAGGAGAGGAAAGGAGAGGAGAGGAGAGGAGAGGAAAGGAGAGGAGAGGAGAGGAGAGGAAAGGAGAGGAGAGGAGAGGAAAGGAGAGGAGAGGAAAGGAGAGGAGAGGAGAGGTAGGGTAGGAGGATAGGAGAGGAGAGGGGAGGAGAGGAGAGGAGAGGAGAGGAGAGGAAAGGAGAAGTGAGGCGAGGGCATACCAAGGTTTGAGTGAGCGCAGATATGATGCTCATGCATAGCGCGAAGTACACCACCTGCACACATGCCATGCCATGCCACGTGTCAGGCTGGGTGCAACGTGTGGCGCTTGCTCACGGGGCCATGCATGGAAGCAGGGCAAAGGGCGCAGCAAGACTCAGTGCAGCAGGCAGGTATGGGGGGTTGCATGGGAAGAGGTGGTGGGTGGGTGCGGAGTGGATTGCATTGGAGTGGGGTAGGCAGCGGAACTTACCCATGGCTTCCATGCGAGCCCATACAGGACCACCTGCATGCATGGAACGTGCAGATGCAGACATGCACAGGCACAGGGAGAAATGAGGACGGAGACAAAGACCAGCAGACATATGGATGGATGCGGCACCTCATGCATGCAAGGGAAGTGAGGGCCAATGGGAAGTGGTAGCTGTGACGATGAAGACTGCTTAGGCAGAGGCCCTGACGGACCTTTGCATGAATCATTATACTTGCACACTGATTCTGTTCCATTCACATGGCTTATATTCAATGTACAGGAATACTACGTGGCTCCAGTGGAATGGAATGATAGGGTGATTTGCATGATAGGGTGATTGGCACAATAGGGTGATTGGCATGATAGGGTGATTGGCACAATAGGGTGATTGGCATGATAGGGTGATTGGCACAATAGGGTGATTGGCATGATAGGGTGATTGGCACAATAGGGTGATTGGCACAATAGGGTGATTGGCATGATAGGGTGATTGGCACAATAGGGTGATTGGCATGATAGGGTGATTGGCATGATAGGGTGATTGGCATGATAGGGTGATTGGCATGATAGGGTGATTGGCATGATAGGGTGATTGGCATGATAGGCATGATAGGGTGATTGGCATGATAGGGTGATTGGCACAATAGGGTGATTGGCATGATAGGGCGATTGGCATGATAGGGTGATTGGCATGATAGGGTGATTGGCATGATAGGGCGATTGGCATGATAGGGTGATTGGCATGATAGGGTGATTGGCATGATAGGGTGATTGGCATGATAGGGTGATTGAAATGATGGGGGTGTGCCTCACATGGACGGTGTTGATGGAAATAGCGAGGATGAGCAGGGAGGGAAGGGGGAGCATCTTGAGCAGCAGGGGCAGCAGCAGGAGCTGACAGGGGGGGGGGAGAGGAGGGGAGGGGACGAGAGAGAGAGAGAAAACATGGAGGGGAGAAGGTTGAGAATGGGTGGGTTGCTGTGCCAGCATGACAATGTGGTGTGGAGAGTGGGATGGATGGATGGTGCGGCAACAAGCGATTGAGTGCAAGCATGGATGAGAACGTGTGTGAGTGCGTGAGAGGTCTGAGTGAGAATTGGTGCATTTATGAGAGTGCAGGCGACTATACAGCGTGAGGGACGGTGTGACGGAGAGTGGAACAGCAGCAGCGGCAGCAGCAGCAGCAGCAGCAGCAGCAGCAGCAGCAGCAGCAGCAGCAGCAGCAGCAGCAGCAGCAGCAGCAGCAGCAGCAGCAGCAGCAGCAGCAGCAGCAGCAGCAGCAGCAGCAGCAGCAGCAGCAGCAGCAGCAGCAGCAGCAGCAGCAGCAGCAGCCCAAGTGGTTCATACGTGGGAGAGCACGGCAAAGAGGCCGATGCCAGCGGTGTAGAGTGAGAAGTCGTTCTTGCCCCAGTGGAACTTGGCCTTGAACACGTACTGGCGAGGGGGGAAGGGGGGGAGAGGTGCGGGATGGGATGAGGCATAAACAGTGAGTGCAGTGCACTGCAGTGCACCATATGATTGCGACTCTTTGTCCTGAGCAAAGAGCCACTTTTGAGAGCGACCGACCAAACAGAACAACCATGTGATTGCTCGAAATTCTCCGGAAGGCATCACGTGGTTGCGCGTTGCGAGTGGGCGTCGAGAGTGAAGGTTGCAGGGAGCAGAGGGCCTTGCGGGGGACAAAAGAAGGGAAGGCGACTCACAAGCATGTTGGCCACTTGGCCGTTGTCTGCAAAGGCATGCAGGAAGGCCACGAGCAGCAGCATGGACACGAGGCGACTGGGACCCGTGGCGCGTGGGACACCAGACGTGGGACAGCGGGGCGAGGGGGGGAAGGGAAGGGAATGGCGTGAGTTGAGAGGATGGCGAGAGCAAGAGACGAGTGGGTTCGTGGTTGAGCACGACACCAAAAGTACGGGTATTTGCCAAAGCAGTGCCACTCCAGCAGTGAGAGGCAGTGAGAGGCAGTGAGAGGGCAGCGGGGGCACCTGGAGAATCTGATGTGCATGGCGGCTTCCTTGAGTGTGGATCTGCTTCGCATCAACACTGCCGACTTGCTTCGCTTCACGCTCCTCGCCCCTCCCCGCCCTGCACCTGCACTTCCCCCTCCTCCTACCTGTCGTCCTCCCCCCTTCTCCCCATTCCCTCCATCTCCACACCCTTCCAGCAGGCTAGTCCTCTCCCCCACACCCCCCCCACTGCCACCACCACCACCTCTTCCTCCTCTGCTCACTCCCCCTCCCCCTTCTTGACCCTCCCCCGCAATCCCCACGCCATCAACAGCCGCCACAGCAGCAGCAGCGGCAGCAAGAATACTCACCCGACTGCCTCCTCCACTTCCTCCTCCACTTCCTATTCCACTTCTCACTCCGCCACCCCCTTCTTGACCCCCTTCTGAATTCCCCTCCCCATCGTCAGCCGCCACAGCAGCAGCAATGGCAGCAAGAGTACTCTCCCGACTGACTCCTCTTCTTCCACTTCTCACTCCGCCACCCCCTTCGGAAACCCCTCGTGGAAACCACACCCCATCAACAGCCGCCACAGCAGCATCGGCGGCAGCAAGAGAATGACCACGCTCCACATCAGCAAGCGAGGCAGCCTTGCGCAGGAGGGGTTGCGAGAGCAGGGACTCAGACGGGGACTCAGGTAGGGAGGCAGGCAGGGACTCGGGCACCATGATGAGAATGTACGCCCACCCGCACGAGCACAGCAGCGTTGCCACCTGCACACATCATGTCCGCGTGGGGTTACCACCACGAGTGAGAAAATCAACGAAACAAAGCACTTTTGCAGCGCTTCACGCCTTAATAAAAAGACGCAGGAGCATGGGACTGCTCGACTAGACCATAACGGCAGTCGTGCTTGTGTGCGTGTGTGTGGTTCCGTGTGTGGGTGTGCGCGTGTATGGGCAGAAAGGTTGGGACGCACATGGAAGGTGATGGCAGGAGGCACGAATCGGGCGACGAGCGGGCCAGCGAGGAAGCCAACAGAAGTGGTGCCGGAAATGGCTCCAAACGCCGCCGCCCTGTCGGTTTCCTCAGTCACATCCGCCTGGATAGAGAGTGTACAGTGGATAGAGAGAAAGAGAGACGGTGGGCGGGCAGGAGGGAGGGAGGCAGAGAGGGGGAAGAGAAATAAGAAATGCGGACAAAAGGGAGAGCTGCAGGGCAGCAGGGTGAGAAGAGAAGAGAGCAGGGCTGGTGTGGCGGGGGGAGCACAGAGCAAGGGGAGCTCGAGAAGGGGCGGGAACGAGAGAGGGGAGAGGTGGAGAGAGGGGGAAAGAGTGGTAGGTAGCAGCGAAAGCTGAACAGAGGAAGATAGGAGGCATGCAGAGACAGGCAGCGTAGGAGTCTGGACTTGGAGTGGGTTCAGCAAGGTTCAGCAAGGTTCAGCACACCCACCACATACACATAAATAAGATCGAGCCATGCAGAGCTGCCCAGGGCAATCCCAGCCGTATTCGCCGCAAAGTACAGGAACACGGCTAGGCGACTGGAGCTGGTAGCAAGGATGGCTGTAACGGGTACAAGACGGGAAGTTGTTGGGGAGAGAAAACGGAATGAGCAAGGGGCGAACCGTGACGATTATGTGGAAGTCCAGTTGGAGAGCGGGGAGGCAGCAGAAGAGAGGTAGAAGTAATGTCAGGCGAAAGCTAGCAAATATGGATCAACAGAATGGGAGATGCTGAGGACAGACGACAGGCAATCCGCGAGGTGAGAGAAGGTGCAGAGAAGGTGCGGCGGGAGCTTACCGTTGGGGATGGTGATGCATGCGATGCTGAGCAGCAGGAAGGGCTTGCGACCGTGCTTGTCGGAAAGGTTCCCGAATATGGGCGCCACGATCATGTTTGCTATGCCGCCTATCTGCCACGCCGCGAGGGACGGGCGCGAAGCGGGAACGCGAAAAGGGGATGCGCGTGAGGGGCGGCCGTGAGGAAAGGCCGCGAAGTGGGAAGGGCGCGAAGGGGCGGCGCGAAAAGGGGATGCGCGTAAGGGGCGGGCGCGAGGGGCGGGCGTGAGAAGGCATGGGCCTTAACGCCCACTCATTCCGAGAACCAACGGGTAACCTAATTGGCACCGCTGTGCGCAATCCCGTACCGTGGCGCTGCCGGCGGAGAGCATGAGCGCCTCGGGGCACTGGTCGGTGGCGCAGAGCGCGGCGACGATGACGTCTAGCATGGATACGATCGCGATAAACAGCCCCATGGCGACAAGGATTATGCCCGCCATTAGCGGCGCCAGCTGCGCGTACACCGCGCGCATCGTCGATAGTGGCATGGCGCCGCGCACGGGGTGGCGTATCGGACGGCTGGTGAGGGCGTTTCGACAGGGGGAGATTTGGATGGGTGGAGACGTGGAGTTGCGATTGGCGCGGGCGGTGTGCGTGGGCGGGTGGAGGGATGAGCGGGTGGATGGTTAAAAGTAGAGAGTTGCGACGACCGCGGGTTACGAGGCAACGGTAAAAGTCACTCCTGGGAGCTGCTGCAGCTTCGTTCAGAAGCGACCGGTCGGTAAGAGGCTCCTCTGCGCTTATTCGCCTCAGGTGAATAATGCTGATTATTTGCAAAAAACCTTCGTCGTTTCTAGCAGAAAGAAGCTCCAGCGGGACCTGTCACGCCACGACTCGACTTAGGACGCGTCACAATTGCGACATCGAGGGAGGATCGTGGTCCTTACCTAAGCTGTGAGAATCGATCTCCTCCGAGCCAGATGTGCCACGTTCGTCCTCAGGTTCGATAGTTAGCGGGGTTAGAAGCCGTTTTTATCAGTTTTAAATGCAATACGTAGGATTTGAGTGCGGTTACAGATCGATATGGAAGGGACATCGCGTTCGGTGAGGTGTGTCGGGTCTGCGCGGACTGTGACGAAAACGGGATATAAAACACGACGACTTACTGTACACCCAGAATTCGATCTCCCACAGAGTCGATGTCGCAATTGTGACGCGTCCTACTGCCAAATGGGATGGGGTGCAGTAATACAATGCCTACTGCGCTTGCTGATGGGCTGACGGCATATTCTCACTCACTGTTACGGGTGCAATGAATCGAAGTAGCGAGAATTGCACTAAGGTGTCAAACGAGTACAAAGATGTGAGCGAAGGGCTGACGCTATCAGAGTAAATAGTCTGATTAGGGCGCTTCACCTGAGGGGCGGAAGGCCAAAATCCGAACCGACGTATCAGTTTGACTGTACGAACAGTATCCCAAATGAAATATCAGAGCGAAGGGCGCTTCAGACCAGACCATCTAGTTTGTGAAAAATGGAATTCCAGAATAGTCAAATTTTAATCACTTAGAGCCTCAGAGTTATTGTTTTATGGCCCCTGATTCAGTGTAATAGGCCTAAGTGTTAGTCATTTCTGGAGTCTGTCACTACAGAGTATGCGTTCTGTGGTCCCTGCATGCGAGTTTATCGGGAGGAAGCTTCCTCAAAATTTCCTGTCGATACACCCACCTCCGAGGTGGCAGCGAATGCCAACACGTGAGCAAAGCACACAGCACCTGCTGCGATACCTGAATACACTCTATCTGTGGCAGTATCACGCAGGTTGAATTGTGTCCCACAGTGGGTTAACCGTTGAAGCGGGCTAGAAAAAGAAGCCCAATAGTGATTTCTTAGGGCATGTTCCTACTGTTAACGGGAATGGAGTGTTGGCCCCGCCCTCGCTTGGGCAACGCCGACGACTTGGTCGGATGCACGGGGGTAGCAGCCGACTGTTCACAGTGGGATAGCTGCTCGACAGGTTACGTCGAGCGACAGCGGACCGCTGTGGTGTTGCTGTCGACCAGGATGTTCGACAGCTGCAACTGACTGGCCTGGGCGACGGGTGAGCCGTCCGGGAGGTCGACGAAGCACTCCGTCGACCTACAGCTCGACGGGGAGGTCTACGGAGCATCCCGTCGAACTGCAGTTCGACCGGGAGGTCGACGGAGCAGTTCTTGTCGACGGAAGGGGCCCGTCGACCAAGGGGTAGCTTGACGGGAGGTGTGGTCGACCAGGAGCATCCGGTGGTCGACCAGAGAGACCCAGTGGTCGACGGGAGGCACCTGGGAGTCGACCAGAGCACCAGGGGTCGACCAGGTCGACCGGGTAACCTGCTCGACGAGTTCTGCGGAGGCACGCGAATGCCGTCGAGATCGCGATGGCGCAGGCGACTTCGGGCTGGTATCCCGAAGTCGATGTGGCTCGTCAGGCGCAGACAACAGCCGACGGATGCCCAACGAGGCAAGTCGGACCAATCGTCTGCGCACACCTACGAGCGCGCGCACTGCTGTGTTCTACGGGGCACGCCGTCGACCTGCTTTGTTGGCAGGTCGCCCTTCTGCAGTGCTGGCGCGGCTCCTCTACGCAATGCTGGCAGGCGGTCGACCAAGCTGCGCTGGCGGTCGACCAGGCTAGCTGCAGGGTTGCTAGGTGCCTGATGTAGTCATTGTTGTTATTGCTTCTTTTATTCAATTCTGTAATTCCAACTTTTCTAGTGGAAACTCTTGCCAATTTCTCCTGTGAATGTGCAAGCACTAAGGAACCAAGCAAAGCTGAGATCACCTCTAGTAGTTCGTGCCAACCCTGTAGTCTAGCTCACTGCCGTTGTAGAGTGAATCTCCGCATGGTGCGGTGAGCGTGGAACTAACACGCGACCTTCGGATAGGAGCCGACTTTTGCACCTACTAAGTCGTTCGTAGGCCGGCAGCAACGATAGTCGCCATGGTCGACCCCGTAGTTGATGCGGGTGTAGCTGACACTTTGGAGGCACGTTTGGCTGACGCGAGGAGACGCCACGCGAATGGCGAGTACGGGACGATCCCCTTAGTGATCGCCGAGTTGGGCATCCGGTCGCAGTGGGCGACGAAACACCCTTCCCGTCCTGCTTCTCCTCGACCGGTGCGCAACGAAGGTGGCGTCGACGACGAGGTCGACGGTGGTGCACGAGTCAGCGGCAGCGAAGGCACGAGGCATAGAGGAGTGATCAAGGTCGACGATGGTGTCGACGGAATCCAGGCGCGAGTGCAGCGGTCGACGGCGGCTGCAGGCAGCTCGCACGCCGACGTCGATGTTCGACATCGCTCTCCTCTACGAAGTGGTGGTGGGCTCTCGGCGACGACGCATGTGACGGCGGGCGGGATTGCACCGGCGTATGGCTATTTCAAGTTCTCGCCGGATCGAATCACCGTCGCTCCGCTGCAAGGTCGACGGGACCTCATCACCTGGAGGGAGTCGATCGAACCTCAGCTGGAGGTCGCCGGGCTGAAGGGCTTCGCCGACGGCACCGTGCCAATTCCGCCCGAGGAGGATGTCGGGCTACGCGGGGAGTTTCGTTCTGCTCACCTGCTCACCTTCATGGTCATCTCGAGGTGCTGCTCGCCGGTGGTACAGCTGGCGCTCAGGAGCTGTCGAGAGCGACTGGATGCTGGTCACCAGGCATGGCGCTTCATCATATCGACGTACCAGGTCAGGGACGACCTGTACATCGGGCAGCTGGAGGAGAAGATGACCCACATTCGGATGGGCGAGCAGGAGTCGGCGACGGATTACTGCAACCGTGCTCGACGGATCCTGGATGAAATGCGAATGGCAGGCGCCGAATACTCGACGGCGTCCTACATCACCCACATCGTCAAGGGCTTGCCGCGCAGCTACAATCTCATGAAGAGGATGATGATGGTGCCCGGCACGCGTGAGTCCCTCGACGAAGACTCCATCACCAGCTACATTCTCCAGGATGAGGCGATGCAGGAGGCAGAGCAGCCCACGGAGTTCCTTCCGCAGGCAAGTTACGCTGCACCGACGAAGCCGAATACACAGCGGGAGCAGCGCGGGAAGCCGGGCGGAAGTGGTAGCGGAGGTGGGCGGTCGACGAAGGACGTCGACGAAACGAGGTCGACGCGGGACAAGGGTCGACGAGGTGGTGGTCGACGGCGGGAGTGCTGGGTCTGCGGCGACCCCGACCATCTCTCCTTCGAGTGCCCCGACCGCGATGAGAGCGACGAGGACGACAACAAGGAAGGCCGCGGTCGATCGACCAGTCGTCGCCCCCGTCGAGCTGAGAAGCCGCGCAAGGAGAAGCAAGCGTCGAAGAAAACTCCCTCGACGAAGGACGTCGACAGCTCCAGCGGCAAGAGCCGAGGCGACGGGGAGGCGTCGTGCTCGATGGTCGGCGTAGTGGAGCCGACGGTCTCGCTAGCACCGGAGGCTGGCGAGGACTTCCAGGCGGTGGCAGCAGCTGTGCAGGCCAACCCGATGGCGGTGCTGCTCGACAGCGGGTGCTCCCACCACCTGATGGGGACGAAATCGGTCTTCGTTGACATGGGGCCGAGCGATGGGGTGAAGCATGTGCGTGGGTTCAATGGGGCATTGCAGCCTGTCGAGGGTCGCGGAACCGTCGCTCTGCAAGGGGAGGCCGGGAAGCGAGTCCTCATCCCCGACGCACTCAACGTTCCAGGCGTATAGGCAAACCTGTTGTCTGCTGGCCAGCTGAAGGAAAGCGGCGTGCTAGTGCAGGGCGATGGCGATGAGATGCTGCTCGTCGACGCGACTGGAGAGGTGCTTGGTCGATCACGCTACACCGGACGAGTCCTCTGCACCGACCTTCGCCCCTGCCCGACGCAGTTGCAGTCGACCGAGGTGGTGGCTCTGCGGACGATCACCTCGGCGACGAAGACGACCCCCGATAGGATGCATGCGCGGCTTGCCCACGTCAACGTCGACACGATCAAGAGCTCGGCGAAGCATGATGTGGCTACTGGGCTCGACATCCCGTTGTCAACCGGAGCAGACCCGCCATGTGTCTCGTGCGTCGGAGGAAAGCTGGCGCGGCACACCTTCCCCGCCAAGGGCTCGGATGCAGCGGAGGCGCTGGCTGTCGTGCACATTGACTTGTGCGGGCCATTTCGGGTGGCTGCCAAGGATGGCAGCTTGTACTTCCTGCTGCTGAAGGATCGCCATACTCGATTTGTATGGGCGATGCCGGTCGCTAAGAAGAGCGACGTGCTGCGGGAGTTCGAGAAGTGGCTGGTGCTTGTGGAACGACAGACGAAGAAGTCGGTTCTGTCGCTTCGCTCCGATCGAGGGGGGGAATTCCTCGGGAAGGCGTTCACCGACTTCGTCGACGGGAAGGGCATCGTCCACGACCTGACGTGCCCCTACACTCCGCAGCAGAATGGCATGGCCGAGCGGGAGATGCGTACGGCCGTCAAGTCCGTGCGGACGATGTTGCTGCACATGGGCGT